TTGTTCCTTCTTTTCTTCCATTGCTCTGACCCAAATTCTTTGACTTAAAACAGTTACATTAAGACTACATTTTTCATTCTCTCCTTGGTGACGTGTCCTTCTAAGTATTTGCAATACTTTTTTGTCTATAATTCTGATATTCAGTATCTGCAGTATTTTGTCTTTCTATTCTCTATGCAGTAACCAACTTGATAAGTGATCTGTGCAAGATTACAGTTATAGTATAACTTGCATGTATATATTGATACAACTCTGGTGGGAATGTGCTGGAAATCAAGGCCCAATATTCCATGATCTGCACCAAAAGGGTAATTGTCTCATTCAAATCACCCAAAAGGGTCATTCGTTTTCTCTTTATAACTGCTAACTAGATCAAAAGAGATTTTTACCTGGCTTTTCAATAAACTCAAAAATAACAGTTTATTCCAGGCAAACTTATTCAAGTGGAAACAAGTTATCAAGTAATCATCTCTGCGCATTAAACTATACCCACCTGAATCCCAAAATACACTTTCATACACAGAGTCACAGAGCACAGAAACAGACCCTTCAGTCCAACTCATCCATGCCAACTGAGTTTCCCAAACTAAATGAGTGCCACTTACCTGCATTTAGTCCATATCCCTCTAAACCTTTCCTCTTCATCTATCTGTTCAAATGTCTTTTAAATGTTGTACCTGTACCTGCACCTACCATTTCCTCTGGTAGTTCATTCCACATACATACCACTCTCTGGGTAAAAAGTTGCCTCTCAGGTCCTGTTTAAATCTTTCTCCTCTAACCTTAAAAATATGCCCCTAATTTTGAACTCCCCCACCCTAGGGAAAAGACCTTTGCTATTCACTTTGCCCCTCATGATTTTATAAACCTCGATAAAGTCACCCCTAATCTCCTACACTCCAGTGACAAAAGGCCCAGCCTATTCAGCCGCTCTTTATAACTCAAACCCTCAACTTCCTGCAATAGCCTGGTAAATCTTCTCTGAACCCTCTCCAACTTAATAATATCCTTCCTGTAACAGGGTGACCAGAACTGCACACAGTACTCCAAAAGTGGCCTCACCAACATCCTGTACAACCTCAACATGAATCCCAACTCCTATACTCAATGGTCTGAGCAATGAAGGTAAGTGTGCTAAACGCCTTCTTAACCACCTATGTACCTGTAATCCAACTTTCAAAACACTATGTACCTGAACTCCTCGTCTCTCTGTTCTTCAATGCTACCCAGGGCTCTATCATTAATTGTATAATTCCTGCTATCGTTCACTTTACCAAAATGCAATACCTTGCACTTATCCAAATGAAACTGTATCTGCCCCTCCTCAGCCCATTGGCCCAATTGATTAAGATCCCTTTGTAATCTTAGATAACCTTCTTCACTGTCCACTATACCACTAATTTTGGTGTCATCCACAAACTTACAAACCATGCCTCCTAAATTCTCATCCAATTAATTTATATAAATGACAAACAACAGTGGACCCAGCACTGATCCCTGCGGAACATCGCTGGTCACAGTCCTCCAGTCTGAAAAACAACCCTCCCACCACCACCCTGTCTCCTACCATCATACCAATTTTGTATCCAATTGGCCAGCTCTCCCTGAATCCCATGTGATGTAATTTAACAAATGACTGTTGATCTTATGAATAAATGAATGTATTGTAGCTTACATAGGCTTCAAAGGGCTTGCATATATTTTGCAATGCATTTTGTAAAATGTAAAGTAATATTGAGAACATTACAGGTGAATACAATAAAAACAATGAGACATATACGTAGTTCTGTAGAGCAGTTATATGGAAAAATAGAGAAATGCCTGTGGATCAGAAGTCTAAAATAATTACTGGGATCTTCACAATAACACTCAACACTGGAGCCCCCCCCAATGATGGGTCCTCAGCCCCCTACTGTATTCCCTGTACACCTACAACTGTGTTGCCAAATTCTGAAAAATGCCATCTACAAGTTTGCTGACAACACCACCATAGTGGGACGGATATCTATCAACAACGAGTCAAAGTACAGAAGGGAGATAGAAGGCTTGGTGCTGTGGTGCAATGAAAACAATCTGTCTCTCAACGTCGACAAAACTAAAGAGCTGATCATTGACTTCAGAAAGAAAGGAGGAGAACACAACCCCATCTACATCAATGGAACTGAAGCTGAGAGGGTGAAGAGCATCAAGTTTCTCGGAGTGACGATACCCAACCACCTGTCCTGGACTTCCCACGTAGATGCGACAGTCAACAAGGCACAACAACACCTCTTCTTCCTCAGACGGCTCAGGAAATTTGGCATGGTCATAAGGTCCCTCACCTACTTCTACAGCTCTGCCCAGGACAGTAAGAGACTACAGAAGGTGGTGTGCACAAGCCAGACCATCATGGAAGCTAACCTTCCATCCATGGACTCTATTTACACGGCTCGCTGCCGCAGAAAGGCGGTCAACATCAAAGACCCATCGCACCCTGGGAATGACCTCCTACAACCTCTTCCGACAGGCAGAAGATACAGAAGCCCGAATGCACACTCAAGCAGGTTCAGGAACAGCTTCTTTCCGGCCATTATCAAACTGTTGAATGGACTCTAGCCACAAATAATGTAACCTGTATGTCTTTTTGATCTGTACATCCTTTGCTTGCTGTACCACTGCCAGTACCGCTCATAAACAAAGCTTTTCACTGTACTTCAGTACACGTGACAATAAAATCAATCATCAATCAATTAAAATAAAAGAGAAGACTGAAGTGAATTCTCACAGTTCCTTCTCTTTGTGGTTGATGAGCTCACATTGTTGTTGGACATAGAATGTTGGGATTCAACTGTGGATCTAAAAAGCACAAACTTTCTCAGTCCTGGGTGCCATTGCTAAAGTGGGTGAAGGGGAGCCTTATTTGTTTTCAAGTCCCCAACTGCATTTTCCAAACGAATGACTAGACTGTGGTCTGGAGCAGCAAGTCTGATATTTCACTACTATAGTCCAGGGGCACTAAGTACCTTTACACCTGTCCTACAGCTACCCCACTACAAGCAGCTAACTCAGCAGAGTCTTCAGATTGCATTAAGCAAAGTGAAATTTAAATTACTCTAATTCAATTGCTGGCATTTATTTTGTGGGTAAAAGAGGAAGATAGTTGGAGATGGAATGCAATATGCCCTTTGGTTGAAATGCAGAGAGCACACTAACATTGTGCTGTCTGCCAGTTACCATTTTTGCATACAGCCAGTGACAACCATACTCTCTAGTGGTTGCACACATCAACAGCAATTGTATTATTAATTTACACTTTTTCAAGCTAGTCTGCAACACATTAAGGAAGTTGAATTGTAGCTGTGGAAGGTGTTGGGAGCCATTCTGCCAAGGTGTTTTTTGATTGTGTATTGGAGGTCTCAGTGAAGTGGTGTCCAATATTCTCATCGCATAAGAGACCCTCCACACACAGGATAATAAAAGAATGGGAACAGGTAGATGGCAGTGTTACACCACTAACCTGGGTGCAGTGCTACAAGTCGTTTAATGGGCTCATTTAAGTAGTCAAGGTCAGTGAATGCATCTTCAAGTGACATCCTCTTACTGTATTATCAGCACCTACCACTGCTCAATGCCCCACAAACCAATCACTCATCTACCAATGATCTCTAAAAATCAGTACTCATCCCTAGCATTCACTTCACCCTCTGAGATTTAACCATTTAGTGTTGTTACAAACATCACGCTACTTCTCACAACTTGCAGATGCAAGTGATTTCAACATAACAAGCCCAAAGTCTAAACAAACTACAATACACTTCCCTCTTTCTCACAGGAGAATGTGGCACACAGCTGGAGGACCTGACCCCTTTGGCAGAGATGGTGCTGACCATTATGGGAAAGGCCATTACTGAGCCTGTGTCCAATAGTGCAGCTGGAACTATTAAACATAGTCATATCTATGACCTAATCCATCCAATCCCATCCCATAATACTCTCATCCTAAAGTCTTCTGACTGAAAAGCTGCTGATGGTGTAAGCATGCTCATCTCACATTCTCCTTTATCGTCACCACTAACTAACATTTTCCCTTTCAACTCCTAAAGAATTTCAACTTAGTCAGGCAGTCGAGGAAGAGCAAACAAACCATGAAAATAAAGACACATTTTCACATTAGCGGCCACCAGCACCAATACTGATACTATAATTTTAAGAGGATAGGTTAGAGAAAGGATCCTCATGTGCGTGAGACACCAGGCACAAATACAGTCCAGTTCGGGTAGAGGCACAAACAACACAGGTATCAGCTCACTCAATGTCACACACTAGTTCTGCTGAAGGAAACCTCAGATCAGGAGTACGATTGGGACAGGCTGTGGGAGAGAGTTAATGGTGCATTGGAAAGTATGTGTTCAATGTTGAGAAAGACAGCACCAAGTATCCATTGAGTTTTATGCAGGTAGGAAGCCTTCTTCAAAACTGAATAGGTGGCCACCCCATCAACACACATGTGGATTCCAACCATGCTGCAGACTGCTATCTGATATTTCAGCATCTCAAGCCACATGACAAAGTGATAATGACAGAGTGCTGGCGTAGAAACTCAGACATCTGTCGTCATGGCTTTGAATACCAATATGCAAAAGAGCTTCTTGGCACTCATGCATCTGTTCTTCAATGAACTTGCTTCCTAAAGACCTTCTGCAGAAATGTCCTGCTGCTGAGAGTTCTTCCCCACCTCTTCCCTCTTCCAGCAATTAATCCTGCTCTGTGTGACTTCTACTCATTCGTCCAGTCATCATGCTAAATTCCATGAGAAAACTCTGTCAAGCCATCGTTAATGTTAGCAATTTGTTAGTATACACATCTTAAAGTCACTAAATATGTACTTCAGCACCAACCACAGTGCTCTGCACAGCTATTCTCCTCCACAATGAATCTACAGAGTGCTACAGACAGAGTAAGTGAGTGGGCAAGAAACTTAGCAGGTGGAATACTGAAATAACTCCACAAAGGCTGATATCCCATTACCAAGACATTCTTTATTTAAACGTGCATAGTATATGACACTGACCCAGCTAGCACAGAGCCAGCTCCTAGGCTGAACAGAACCCCTGACACCCCTGTTCTTATCTGTCAGCCAGGGCTCCCAGATTAGACCAGGTTAACAGCCCCAATCAGGGAACTCACCTGAGATCCACATGGCTGACCACGTTCCAATCACAACAATATAATGTGGGAAAATGTGAGGTTAGTGCACTGGCAGGGAGAATAGAAGTGGTGAATATTATTTAAATGGGGAAAGACTGCAGAAAATTGCAGCACAGAGGCATATGGGGGTCCTCATGCAGGAATCACAAAATGCGAGCACACATGTTCAGTAGATAATAGGGAAAACAAATGGAATGTTGGCCCTTATTTCAAAGGTAATAGAGTATAAAAATAGGAGCCTCCTGCTAAATCTATACAAGGCACTAGTCAGACCATACCCGTAATATTCTGAAGAGTTTTGGGCCTCCTTTCTAAGCAAAGAAATTGGAGGTGGTCTACAGTGTGTTCTTCAGGATGATTCAAGATATGGAGGGATTTTATTTTGAAGAAAGGTTGAGTTGGTTGGGCTTGTACTCATTGGAGTTTAGAAGAATGAGGTAACCTATTTGAAACGTGTAAGATTCTTAGGGGGCTTGAAAGGTAGATGCAGAGAGGTTGTTTCCCTTGTCAGAAAGTCTGAGACCAGGGGGCATAATCTCAGGGTAAGGGTCATCCATCTTAGACAGATGAGGAATTTCTTCTCTCAGAAGTAGTAAATCTGTGGAATTCTTTATCACAGAAGGCTATCAAGGCTGGGTTGTTCAGTATATTTCAAGGCTGATATAAATTTTGAATCAAGGAGGAAATCAAAGATTATGGGTAAAAGACAGGAAAATGTAGTTGAGGATTATCAGATCAGCAATGATCACATTAAATAGAGGAACAGAAACGATGGGGCAAATGGCCTACTTCTGCTCCGACAGCTTATGGTTCATATAATTGAAACTTTCAATAAATATTGAAAACCCCCTAAAACACACATGTAGAACTGTAACTGCCAGAAGAATTAATCCAGTGTCTAGCATGTATGTAATGTCTCTTCAATTGTATTGCTGCATTCGTGTTGGTGATGGTATTGAGTGGGCAGGAAGGGGAGGTGGAGGTGGGGTCCCTCATGTTAGTAAGTGTGGAAGGCAATTAAAAGTGGTAGGCTAGATAATGGAGTTCCAAAGTGGCAACAATGGCATCAAGTCAGCATCTCATGATCTATCTGCTCTGTATACTTATGTATGCCTGCTAACTCCTTTAGCAGTACAGTGTCCAGCACACTTTACAACACAAGTGAGCAGCGGAGGAAGAGGGAGCCATTATATGTCATTATATTGTTGCTGGGCTTTGCTGTATTCTGGCCAAGTTGTTGTTAAGACATACCATGTAAAAGACATACACTAAATTATTACAAATAAAATTATGCAAATTTTGTACTTTTATGTCCATTAGACTTGGTCTTCCATGAAGATAATACAGTAATTCAGATAAGCAAAGTATTCATGGCAGCAAGATACAATAGTATCTCAGCTATTAATGCACAAGAGATATTTTAATAGTTATATGATAAATTGAAGCATAAGAATCTCAAAATTATACAAGCACCTCTGAGAAGAGACATAAATTTCAGAGATGTAGCATTGAAAAAAAATTAAAATTAAAGGCAAGAAAACTCCATAGCAGTGCTTTACAATTGCACATTATAGCTCAATGCTCAATAACACTTTTTTGCACTGTATTGCTGGAAGGTTGTGTTAGGTTACTGCATTGTTTTCATTAAAAACTTATTTTATTGCAAAAATTCCACTTAATCAAAAATACACCAAATACGTTGTTTTTTAATATGAGATAGTGGTTGAAGCATTTTGTTTTGTTGCAATCTCACCATAATCAAGGATAGAAGTCCCCAAAAATATTTAAATCAATATTAACAAACAGGACTACAATCAACTTCAGGATAACCCAAATTAGAATCATAGTACTTTGTTTCATCATGGTTATACTCCAAAACTCATAATGAATACTCAGGCAACTGATCCTCTGAAAGCTCCCTATAAGTTCCAGAATGAGACAGTTCTGTTTGACTTACTGCTGATCCACACCACACCTTCTCCCAATGTGCTTAGTTTGATGAAGAAACGCTGCCATTACTGTAATGGAGCTGTATTATAGTTCCTATATTTTTCATTTTTCTTTCTCTTACATATCTGAGTCTGCATACATTCCATTTATTAAATAGTCCACTTGAACATAGTCTTTCCTTTTATTGCTTTCAAAAGCTTTTTGAGCAAACAATATTATACTCACTAAGAAAAACAGCAGCCCAAATATTAGTATGGCAATTAAAGAACTGGTATCAGCTAAATGTTTGATTAGAGATCCGGCAGGGACTGAAGGAAAGATGTAATAGTTCCCATCATTGAAAGCAGGTGTAGTTCTTGATTCTTTCTCTGGTGATTTTGATGCTCCTCTGGCCATTGTGGATGTGGTCATAGTTACAGGAGCTGAACTGTTCATTTTGTTTGTTGTAGTTTGAGTGTAAGTTACAGAAGCATTTGAAATATTCGTGGCTTTTGTAGATAATGCCTTTGCCAGTGTAGTTTGACGAACAGTTGTTGAAGTTGATGCAGTTCGTTGAGCAGTTGATGTTAGTAGCTCAGTAGTTTCTGCTAAATTAGTAGTGGAGAGTTGTGTGGTATGTTCATTTGCTGATGAAGTTGATTCATTGACATTTATTGTTGAATTATTTGGAGTGGGTATTATTGTCATGGTTGGAGGTGTTTGAAAACCTGAAATAGATACTGATGGAATAGCTGAGGTTGTACTTGTGACTTCTTGAAAGATTGTAGTTGTGGCTGCGGTTGTGGTGGGGAGGGCTGGCGATAGTGTGGTCGTGGCTGTGGTTGTGGTGGGGAGGGCTGACGATAGTGTGGTCGTGGCTGTGGTTGTGGTGGGGAGGGTTGATGATGCTATGGTTGTGTTGGGGAGGGCTGATGATACTGTGGTCATGGCTGTGGTTGTGGTGGGGAGGGTTGTTGATGTTGTGGTCGTGGCTGTGGTTGTGGTGGGGAGGAGTGATGATGCTGTGGTCGTGGCTGTGGTTTTGGTGGGGAGGGGTGATGATGCTGTGGTCGTGGCTGAGGTTGCGGTGGGGAGGACTGATGAGACTGTGGTCGTGGTGGGGAGGGCTGATGATACTGTGATCATAGCTGTGGTTGTGGTGGAGAGGGTTGATGATACTGTAGTTGTGGTTGTGATTGTACTGGGCGTAGTGGGTGATACTGTAGTTGTGCCTTTGCTTGCATTCCTGGTGGCAATAGCTCTAATGGCACGATGTGACAACACTGGAGATGATTTCTTTAAAATAGTAGAATTTTTTCTGGAAATCTTTTTATCAATTGTTCTATCCCTTTGTATGCGACTTAAAAAAATCTTGTTTGGCAAACCTTGCCCTAGAAAACAAGAAAGAAAAACGTAGTTAAAAATATTTAGCAATGCTATGTACATTTACTGTCGACACATTATTCCCAAATGCTTCTCAGAACATTCACAGAATAACACAATAGGTCTGCTTGGATGTTCAAGATCTTTCTCCTTGACCCAGACGAGCAGCAAGTTAAACCAGTGTAATTCTCAATACTGCACACAAACGTGTGATTTGTCTCCAGCAGAATATTTTTACTGGATACAGCAATGCTTATGCTGTCTCTTGTAACACAAGAACTAGATGTGGGTGATATGGTATTGAAAGATTCCACAGGAAGTTTACTAAAGCTCACTAGCATATATAAAATTACATTCAAAGGCTAAAACAAAATCAGAAATTGCTGGAAAAGCTCAGTGGAGAGAAAGCAGTTATATTATCATGATTGTGTCTCTTAAAGGCATACTGTCTGTGAGCCATAATACAGTATGCATCATTGTAAGGAAGAACTGGAGGCTGTTTCTAGACAAAAATGAACTACTCTGATTATCTGGCCTTATTTAGAACTGGCAGAGGCTCACTTATTCTTTCAATAGGGAAATAATACTCTGTCCTCGAAACGTTAGATAGTAAAGTATAAAAAAATTAATTTTGGAGAAAGGATTACATTGCAAATAAATCTGAATCGATGTAATCTGTAAACAGTTGAAGAAAAAAAACAAGTTTATCAAAGGATTTCTGGATTTTAAGTCAGACACATCGCAAATAGTTGGCAAAGAACCAACATAGGTAATTAACAAGAGGCAGTTTAATGCACTGAGTTCTTGAAAATAAACTGATTCATTTCATACCTATTTGCAGAGCTTTAGCATCTTCCACAGTTACTCTTTTACAGACTGGGATATCAAGACAGTGCAAATAAAAGCAAAGATTTTGTTTTTCTTCAATTACAACCCAATTACACTCCAAGCCATCTGCAACACAAATTGAAAGAAAATCTTGTGTATCATCTGCATCACTTTTTAATCTAATAACACAGATTTAACTATAATAACTTTAGGGCTAAAAATTGGTCCGTGATGTGTTTTGGGTACAACAGTTACAGACGGAAGGAAAGAGATCATGATTCCAAAAGAGTTCAGACGGGCCTTTCAGAGGGATTAGGAGCGAGTAGCCCGAGAGGTGAATTCCTGGACTCCAGCTCTGAAGAGCTGCCAGGTATGCCAAAAGAAGTGTTATGATCTCAACATAAATATCCCCCTTGTAGATGCACACCGCTCCACCAGCAACTTTCAGTTTGGTCCGTGTGGTCCTTCATAGAGACTCGTGGATTCCAGAATTCTGTGAAAGCACAATAAGACAAGTTTAATTGCCTTTATTTTTATTTTGTGGAATGTCAGCATCACTGGCAAGGCCAAAATTGGATGAGCAACAAATGCTGACTGCAATGCTTCAAGTGGTTGAAAGCAAAATCAGCATCACTGGTCTTCTTGTGTTGTCACATAGCACTACTTATCCAAAATTGCACCAAGCAGGTGCATTTAACAAATCTTCAAAGACCAAGTGTTTCACTGCAAGACTGACCAGGACCTATGTTCCCTCTAATTCCTTTGGCTTCCGTGCATGCCAGTGACTTTCAAAATCAGAAATCAATGCTGGGGCAATGGCACTGGCGCATCGATTGGCATGTGTGGATGCTTGGAGCAACTGGGTGCTCACACAACCTAGAGGGAACATTGCCCAGGACTAGCATAAGGGCCAAATATCTAATTTGAAGGTAAGTAAGATAATATTGATGAGCCAGGAAGATGGTGGAGTGGTGGAATAAAAGTTCTGTTAATAAAGAAAATATCAGTGCCATAAAACTCAATGATTATTGTGAAAACCAATCTGATTCATGAATGTCATTTCGGGAATGAAAAATGCCTTCTTCATCCCGTCTGGTCTACATGTGACCAATATTCTCTATTCCACGTACACTGATTGGCATGTGGAAGCCACTGCTGCCCAGGAACCTTGAAGATCCACACGGAGGAAAAAGAATTACAGGGAATGTTGCATGCGGCTCCAGATCTTGACCAAAATTGTTGCCTCTTTAAAGCCCTTGAAATGGCCTAGCAAGCCACTCAGCCTGCTCACCACCACTTTCTGAAGAAGAATTAAGAACGAGCAATAAATGTTGGCCCAGCCAGCAACGCCCAAATCCCATTACAAAATAAAAACAAAATTCTGCTTCTGCAAAGTGTCTGAAAGTAACTCAAGACGGTGTTTTGGAAGTATTGTGGTGAGTTTCTGGATTTGCAAGAGTGTTGCTGCATGATCATAGGGAGGTCAGAAAAACAAGTGACAAAGGAATGGGGGCTGCAGTTGGAGAATTCATTTTACTTCATACTTAAATCCTCCAAGCTTAATCTTTAGAAGAAATGCCACTATTCTTTACATACTTCTCAGGCAAATTAAGGATTGTTGTTGTGCACAGCGGTCCTTGTCTTGGAACAGCTAAAGATCATGAGCAAAAACAAAGTTGCTGGAAAAGCTCAGCAGATCTGGCAGCATCTGTGAAGGAAAAAACAGAGATGACGTTTTGGGTCCGGTGACCCTTCCTCAGAACGTGTTCTGAGGAAG